AGAAGTTTTCCCTGTGAGGGTGGGCAGGCCCTGGCACAGCTGTGGCTGCCCTGGATCCCTGGCAGTGCCCAAGGCCAGGCTGGACACTGGGGCTGGGAGCAGCTGGGACAGTGGGAGTGTCTCTGCCATGGCACAGGTGGGATGGGATGGGCTTTGAGGTCCCTTCCAGAATTTAGTGATTCTTATCTTTAGTGATTCTGATCTGGTCTTGCTGAGGTCAGTCAGCCTGAGGAGCTGCTGCAAATTCAGGCTGAAAGGTGAGTGCTCATAATTTACACCATGTAAAGAAAGAATGAATGCCTGAAAAAATGATAATACATGATTGTTTGGGTTTTTGTTTTTTGGGGTTTTTTTTAAGGAAAGGGATGGGGTGAGGTGCTTCCTTTTCTTTTCTCCTGAATCAATGTTATTTCTCACTTACAGCTTCGTAGAAACCTTATTCTGCTCTGGCTGCTCAAAGACCCTCAGCAGTATCTACAGGTGCACCTCAAGGAGCCTGGACTCCAAGAGAGATTTGTTCTGTTTCACTATTGACTCCATTGAAAGATAAGCACAGAATGTTTGTGTGCCAGCCCCACTGCATTCACAGGCATTGCACTGAGGGCTCTCCTGTTATATCTCTGGGAAGTGCAGAGGTGGCTTTTTCTGCTGCTCTGCCCCAGAGGGGTTTTCGGTATTGCTGGTGAGGAGCCTGATTTTGGAATGTTTGATGGAATTGGCCAAGTAGCTTTTCCTTCTGGGCTTCCTGTAGTCTGTCCATGGCAGGTGCAGCCTGTGCCTTTAGCTTGGAGCCCTCAGTCCTCAGGGAAAGGAACCTTTGGGAAGTTCTTACAGCTCTGCCCAGTGCTGTATGGATTGGGATGATTTTCTGGAATTAGGCTGTCCATTCTGACCCGTTTGTTCTCTCTCCCTGCAGACAGTACTGCTGAAAGGTTGAGGTGACACCTGGATCTGTGAAACCCCTGACTCCCTGTGCCTTCCTGAGGCTGAAGCCACGTTTGCTGTCAGTGACCACAGAGTGGAAGATGCTAAAGACTGAAAACTTGGGGATTTTTCTCCTGAATCTCAAGACTCTCTGCAGCTGTACACTGTCTATCTCTTAAAAGAGTTTCTGGGTTTATAAAGGTTTTTACATTCTGCAATATTCATCTGTAACTCCATTAAAAAGAGTCATACTGTATCAATGTGGTGTCAATGACTTTGTTTGAGTTGGTTAATTAAAGCAAATTATTGATAAGGGGTTGGAGCTGGCAGCTCTTATTTTCTCTTCATTCCTTTAATTCCTTTCTATTATTTCTTAAGCAATTACTGCAGTTAGGATATACAATAAGGACAGCAGCATTTCTGCCCTGCTGGATTGG